CCGGATATTACAAAGACCTCACAGTTTCAAGGCAATAGAGGCACATGGGCTGAGCTGTGGGGTTTAATGTATTCAGATATTGTGCTACTGTCCACCTAGATCTGCCTAGACACTCAAGGTGTGGAAGGTGAGAGGCATGGTGAGAAAGTCAGATAAAAGAAAGAAAACAGAGGGAAAAGGGGGAAAAAAACAGAAAATAAACAAACAATAAACTCACCAAAACAATAAAAAGGGAAAAAAATAATTTTAAGAAAAGGCAAGAAAAATCAGAACCAAGCAGTACACTAGCCTGCTGTGTGAAAGGGGCAGGGCTAGGCATACCTCAGATGCATGTGCATTATGAAATTATATAAAGGAGATAAAATTAAGATAAAGGAGAGGTCAGAAGCAACAGTCAGTACACACAGATTTTTAAAAAAACATATATATAAGAGAAAAATTTTGAGAGAAAGGGAGAGGGCTAGAGAAAGTCAGAGACAGAAAGAAGATAGAGACTTGGCTTTTTGTTAGGTGTTGGGTTGGAAGGAGGGGTGTGGGGAAGAAGCTTTTTCTTGTTAAAGGGACAGAGAGAGACCACCTTAGATGATCACGGACCATGTTTTTTTCCTGGTTATTGGGCTGGAAGAAAGGGTTTGAGGCAGAGACTTTTTCTGGTTAAAGATACAGGGAAAGCCTACTTCAGATGCACATGGATTCTGTTTTTTTGCTAGATGTTGGGCTGGAAGGAGGGCCTGTACAGAAACTTCTTAATCTGATGTAATCTCATTTATCAATATTAGGGATTATTGCCTGTGCTTTGAGGGTCCTATTCAAGAATTCTTTGCCTGCCCCAAAGTCTCCCAGAGTTTCCTGTGTTTTCCATCAGTAGTTTTATAGTTTGAGGTACTAGGTTTAGATCTTTAATCCACTTTGAGTTGATTTTTGGTAATGGTCAGAGATTGGGTTCCAGATTCATCTTTCTGCAAGTGGATAACCAGTTTTTTCATTTCTATTTGCTAAAGAGGTTTTCCTTTTCCTACTGGATTGACTGGTACTCTATGTCAAATATCAATTAGCTGTATGTTTTGGGGTTTCTTTCTGGGGTCTGTATTCTGTTCCATTGATTCACATGTCTGTTTTTGTGCCAATACCAATACCATGCTGGTTTTTTGCTGTTGTTGTTGTTGTTGGTTTTCTGTTGTTGTTGTTGTTGTTGTTTTGTTTTTCGCTAGAGGGAACATGTGCTTACTAGGAAGACAGAGAGAGAGAGGCAGAGAGACAGAAAGCAAGAGATCACCCCACAGAGGGAATGACCATGCTGCAATCCATTCTCCTCCATTCTCCTCTTGGGATTTGGGCATACACACACACGCGCCTGGCATGAGTTTAAGCCACCGGGTCCGGGACACAAACTGCGGTTGACTACATGGGAATCCAGCAGCATAGCCATTATGCTACATGCCAGTCCCAATCCCATGCGGTTTTTGATTATAACAGCTTTGTAATATGTTTTGGGGTCAGGAAGTGAGGTGCCTTCTATTCCACTCTTCTTGCACCAAATAGCTTAGGCAATATGAATCATTTATAATTCCAGACAAATTGTATAATTGTCTTTTCTAAATCTGTGAAGAATGCCTCTGCTAATTTGATTGGGATTGGACTTACTATGTAGATTAGAGTAGAACTGTCATTTTAATTATATTAATTCTTCTAATCCAGAAACATGGAATGTCCTTTTGCTTCTCTATGTTATTTTTTATTTTCTTTTTTATAGTTTCACAGCTTTCCTTATAGAGGTCTTTGACTTTTGGTTAAATTTGTTCCTAGGTATCCTATACTTTTTGTACCTATGCTAAGTGGTATTGCTTTCTTCAGTTCTACCTCAGTCTGCTTGTTCTTAGTATATAGAAATGCTATATATTTTTGTATGTTCTGATTGACTAGTACTTTGAATACTTTATTCAAAAGAGTGGAGAAAGTGGGCTAGATGACTTTCAGAAAATTTTATTTTGAGAAAAAAATAAAATATTGGGAGTGAGGTAGAAACTAGCCTTTTGCTAAGTATAAAAGTTCTAATATTGAGAGGATCAGCAGGTGTCAGGATTGTTAAAGTGCTGGACTCCCATATAGTTGGCCACAGTTCTCAAAAGAGATCTGGCAGATTGAAGATCACACCACGTACATGTCTGCATGTGTGTGCCCAAAGTCCCAGGAGAAGAATTGAGGTGAAGGTATTGCAATGTGGTGATCCCCCTGGGGGGTGATTTCTCACTTTTTTCTCACTGCCTCTCTCTGGCAAGCACTCATACGCAAACCTTAAAGGCAAACAAGTAAAACCTCTAATGAGTAAGCAATTTGCTAATAATGGATCAGAACTGAGCAGTCACATCTATATCAAGGCTTGAATAAGCTGATAATGACTTAGTGTATCATTCATCACAAAAACAGTTATCAGGGGTTTGTGAAAGTCACCAAAACCATGGGAGCCACTGTGGATTTCAGTGGTGGTGAAGGACCATAATGAGCATTAGCGATTTTCATATCCTGAAATCCTGATCCAGTCAGCAGAACGGCCAGCATGGCTTCAGGGATGACAACAAATTGGGGCACATTTTCAAATGTGTGATTTGTAAAACATAGCTTCAGGTTTTTGAGTACTTTCCTGAAGCTCCCTGCTTTGACAGAAGAAAACTGTTTTTTTATTTATTCTGTGGACTGAGAAACCTGAATAAAAGGAAGCAATGATGGCATTTTTGAGACAGTGATTGACTCTGAGACGTCTTATTTCTATTAATAAACTTTATTTCTTAGAGCAGTTTTAGTTTTACAAGAAATTTGAGCAGAAAGTAGAGTCCCATATACTCTCTCTCCACACTTACTCTACACAATTTATTCTATTATTAACATCTTGGGGACCAGCAGTTAGCGTAATGGCTATGTTGCTGGACTTCAATGTAACTGACCGAGTCCTGGATCCAGCAGCTTAAACTCACGCTGGGCGCGTGTGCATGCATGCGCAAGATCCTGAGAGGAGAATGGAGGAGGAGGGATTGTGGCATGGCCATCCCTGCTGGGCGGGTGATTTCTCGCTTTCTGTCTCTCTGTCTCTCTGGCGAGCACACACGCTCTATAGCAAAAACTTTTCCAAAAAAAAAAAATCTTGCATTAGTGTGGCGCATTCGCTACAATTGATAAATTGATATTAGTATGTTATTATAAGCTAAAGTCCATAGCTTGCATTAGGTTTTTTTTTTGTTGTATATTCTATTGGTTTTGACAAAAGCATAATGACATGTGCCTGCAATCACAAATACCTTAAGGAACAATTTTTGCTGCTCTAAACACCCTCTGAGCTCCACAGTTGATTTTAAAAAATTAAAATTAGATGTAAAAGACAGAATTCTGACACTAAGCTACTTGAGATTATCTTTTTAATAACAAACGTTTTATAACCATCGTAAATTGACCCAAGGTAACATAGTTACTTCATGAGTCAACTCCAAAACACGTTAACTGATACCAATAACATTAGTTTCTCATCTAAAAATTAGAGACCCCAGAAATAAACGCGAAAACGTACAGCCGGCTGATTTTTCACAAAAGGTACCAGTCAATCCAGTAGGAAAATTACCTCTTTAGCAAATGGTACTGAAAAACCTGAACAAAGATGAATCTGAACCCTTACCTCTCACCGTTGACAAAAATCAACTCAAAGTGGATCAAATATTTAAACCTAAGACCTCAAACTAAAAAAAATTAAAAAATACTTTTGGAAAACACTGGGGAAACTCAGGAAAACATTAGGTAGGCAAAGACTGTCTCTCTGTCTCTCTCTGTCTGTCCGGCGAGCGCACGCGCCCTATAGCGAAAACACCTCTCCAAAAGAAAAAAAGAAAGAAAGAAAGAAAAAAAAAGCTTCTGCCCAGCAAAAATACAGTAATTAGTGTGAACTGACAACCCTCAAAGGGGAGAATATATCTGTAATCTATACTTTACATAAGGGACTGAAAACCAAAACACAGAGAAAACTCACGTGGCTTATCTGAAAAAAAATAATCAACTCAATTAAAAGATGAGAAAATGGGCTGAAAATCAACTCTTTAAGAAAGATAAATAAATAACCAAACAGCATATGAAAAAATGTTTATCATCCGTCGTTGCAAGGGAGATACAAATTAAAGTCACAATGAGATACCATCTATCCCCAGTCAGAATGATGAAGAGCAAAAAAAGAAAAATGATAAGTACTGGTGGTGTGGCTGTGGTGAAAAAGAACTCTCCTACACTACTGGTGGGAATGTAAATTGGTCCAGCTACTATGGAGAACAATATGGATATTTCTCAAAGATCAAGGAATAGAACTACCATATGACCCAGCAATCCCACTCTTAGGTATTTACCCCAAAGACGGGAAAATGTTCAGTCCTAAAAGTGCTCGTACATTTATATTTACTGTGGAATTATTCACAATAGCTAAGACATGGAAACAACCCAAATGTCCATGAACATAAAAATGGTTTGAAAAATTGTCACAGATATACTCTATGGAATACTACTCAGTCATACAAAACAACAAGACCCTGACTTTAGATAGAAAGTGGACAAATATGGAAGATCTACTGCTGAGTGAAGTAAGACAAGCTAGGAACATGAAACATTGTATGTCTCCACTTATGTACTGAATGTCTGCACTCTATGCAGAAATGGAAAGATTTAAGGATACAGAAACATGGGAAATGGTTATGGCTACTGGAGACACAGTGGGATAATGGGCAGAGTCTGAGAAAAGACATTAAGGAGAAAAATAGAAAGGCAAGACATTTATGGGACACAGAAAAGAAGTATTATCTGTTGATGATAATGTGTATAGTATCCTCAATTGGACTGTTGTTAAGTGTATTCATGTTGGGAAAATTCACTTTACAAGCTAAGTGATGTATAGTGGTTGAATGTATAAATTAAATTAAAATATATTTTTAAATTTTTGATATTTTAAAATTAATTGTGCAGAGAAATAAAAGTCTTAGAGGAAAAGTAAGACATTTATTACAGACTTAAATTGATTTAAAAATTACACAATTCATAAATTATCTTTCTTCATTAGATCTTCTCTTTCGTTATATTCTGCTGTTAAAAGAGAGAAGAAAGGGGAGGATTAGATCTTCATAGGCACAGTCACATTCCTACTTCAGTCTCCCAGGACCCAAGAATCCTGAGAACTGTTAAAAAGTAGACTCAAGGTTTCACCAGAAAGTAGGATGTTTATGGAAATTAGGCAACTTCTTGAATGATGAAAGGGGATGATGCCTACGACAAGAAGTAATCTATTCTGGAGAACAGAGACACGGCCTCAGAAGGGAAGCTAAACTCTCAGAAAAGGAAGAGCCAGAGAAATCCCTGAAGAGATCTAGTAGTAAAGTACTGGAACTCGGGACGGTCTAAGAAGGTGTGCTGATGTAAAGGAAGGAAATAATAAAATTAATGGAGTAAGCTGTCCACAATGGCAGTCATCTGTAAATGTAAAGCTGAAAATGGCCATCCATTCAATGGCCATGTATGCATTGAGAATTTATTGGGGTTTAAAACAGTTAATAAGATACAATGTTGGTCTTAAAAACAAAATGACAAAATAGTGGAGAAAACAGAAACAGTTAGAATACAGCATGGTAAATGCAATCACAGAGACGCCATGTACAGAAAAGCCCAGGAAAAGGGCTTCCTGGAGAAGACATGGGAGCTGAACCCAGAGGCAGAGACTGAGCAGGGTCACAGGTAGTGTATTCCAGCAGGAGGGGCCTGGGCATTAAGATGAAATGCAGATGGGTTGTGAAAATAGCCAAATGGGACTCTGTCATGTGACCTGGGAGGCAGGGGGAGAAGCAGGACCTGAAGCTGGGGGTGTACACAAGGGCTGCTCTGAGGCAGGAAGGAGCATGACTGATCCTCTGCCACAGTGTGAGGGAGCTTAGACTCCATCCTCCAGGAGAGCAGCTTCTTGACTTGGTGTCTGAGTCTGATTTTTATTGCTATAACAGAGAGTGATTACATTATAAAGAAAAATGATTTACTTAGTTCACAATTCTGCATACTGAGAAGTTCAAGATTGGGAAACTACATCCAGCAGCTTCTGATGAGTGCCGCATATTGCATCAAAACAAGACAGAGAAGCAGAAGGGGAGCCAAATTTGTGCACAATGCAATGTGTAGGGTTACTTTATAATGCCCTGCTATGGCAAGAACTAATCCATCCCCATGAGAATGAGAACCAGGAACTAGTCTCCTATGTAGTTGGTGGTGGGTGAGTTTGTTATTGAAACTTCCAATCAATTGAAGTCATTGTGTTCTGCTTGGTGACAATACACCTAGTTCCACCCAACACATGACAAATGCATCCTAAACAAATAATCCAGATTTTTGCCCTGTCATGCTATTTTCTAATCATGGAGACATGACTATCACTTGGAAGTAAAAGAAACTGTCAAAAGACATCCAGAGTTAGATCCCAATCCCAGCACTCCATCTGAGAGCAGGAGTTTCTAAATGCCCTCATTTCCTCATTTGGGAATTATGACCTTCACACTCAGCATAGCGGTTGGGTGCAAAGTGAGCAATTGATGAACATTGTTGAACAAATGGATAAGACCATGAGACTGGTTCTTTTCACCATGCTCTGTTGACAAAATCCTCCCAAAGAACTACCTCTTTTACTGCTCTTAGGTATTGTTTAAGAACTTCATAAACATATTAGAAATATCTATTTAATGACCGCAGTAAGCTATATAGCCTCAGCTAGGTGCTATTTTATAGCATATTCATTCTACTCACAGTTTCATGCAGAAAGTAAACATTTGTTCATGGATTTTTTTTTCTTGAGAGATTTTCGCTATAGGGCGCGTGCGCTCGCCAGACAGATAGAAAAACATATAGAGATAGAAAGCGAGAAATCAGCCCCCAGGGGGATTGTCATGCCGCAATCCCTTCTCCTCCATTCTCCTCTCAGGATCTTGGGCACGCATGCACATGCGCCCGGCGTGAGTTTTAAGCCACCGGGTCTGGGACACGAGCCATGGTCGACTACGTGGGAGTCCAGTGACATAGCCATTATGCTAACTGCTGGTTCCCTTCATGGATATTTTTATATATCTGCTGAACTTGATATTGAAAGTAGTAAGATCAATTAAGAAATTTTGTTAACCAATTGAAAGGTGGGAGAAAGAAAAGAAATGGAAAGCAACTGTAGATACCAAAGATAGAGTGAGAGGATGGTGGAAAATGGCAGGGGGTTAGAAGTGTGTGGGGGGATATCATATATATATATGAAATATATATGCATATATGTGTGTATATATATATGTATATGAAACAAGAAACAGAAAATTATTTGTGATGATATCATGTATGACTAAGCCACTATACAGTGTATTCTGGATACGTCTTGTATGCTATGATGATGTTCAGTGAATGAATGCAAGATAAATAATATTAAAAAGTAAATTTTTAGTAACTTTATTGAAATTTTTTGAAGTAGTCGATAAACTTATCAGTTGTTTTGGCTTTGTGTTAGGACATAAGTTTAAATTAAAGTTAACTACTGTTAAAAAAAAAAAACCTTCATACTAATTGACATTGCAACATAACGAAACATGCATCATTCACATTGCTGTAGTTTAGGTGCTAAGGCTCTCCCAAGCCACCGCAAAACTGAAAAGTCAGAATTATTCCTCCTGTACAAATCTATTAAGTGTAGGGACTTACCATCAGATTCCATTCAACATGAGAATTAGGGTCTGGTTTTCCATATTTCCTATTTTGGAATAAGAAGTAAGAAAAGATTTCAGAACTCTGTTTAAATATCACATTTCACTATCGCCTCATATGTTAAACTGTTTTCTAGTGTCCACCTAAAGAAAAGGCAAGTAAAGCAAAGAGTTTATTTGGGCCAGGGTTAGGACGATTGCCCAGCACCAAAAACATCCATGTTGCCTGAAATAGGTCTTATAGATATGAAGATGATTTTAAAGGCAAAGGTTGTAATTGAGAGAGTGAGTGGCAAGGAGTCTTATACAGAAGTGATTGGGTAGATCCTATGATGAGGGAGCAGGATATCTACATGGCTACCTGCAATCACTTTGCTGAAGATAAAGCAGTCATTTGGATGTGACTGATGGATAGTAAAGGAGGGCTGTATTTGAACAAGAAGGAAAACATCCAGATGAACCTAGGTAGCATCTGGAGCTATTTCAGGTGCACATGCTTAAGAAAGTCACAGACGTGCACAAGTTTTATTTCCTCTCAACCTGATTGCTTATACGTTGTCAGTGTTTTTAAACATTTCTGTTTTATCCATAAAGTGAAGCAAGAATCAGAGGGTTTAAGTGGAGAAGGATCGTAGCCTCTTCTAGGATTCAGAATGAACCTGAGAACAGCATGCAACAGCGTGGGTTCCCTCAGTCGAGAAAGGGAGTTTAGCAGGAAGCAAGTTGACTTTTAGGAACTTGCAGGATGTCCATGGCAACAAAATTCAATAGGCAGTTCATCTTAAGGCAAAGATCTCAGGATAGTGTGGAAATACCTACATGTTAATGATAGTTAAAGTTAAGCAAGACAAAGCTCTAACAGAATAATCTATACACTTCAGAAAGGATTGGCTTATGGAGATAATACAAATGGTCACCAGTATTTAAATTACAGAATTTAAAAAAAGAGGAAGTGGGTCTAAGCCACATGGCCTGTGGCTTATGGGAGCTGGATCCCACATGATCAATCATGTGGTTTGATACTTAGACCTGGTTTCTTGAAAAAACATTTTGGGTGCATGTGTTTACATACTGACTATCCTGAAAAGAAGAAGAAATTGAAGAGAAGAGACTGCAGCATGGCCATGTTTCATGGGGGGTGGGGATACTTTCTCCCTTTCCCTCTATTTCTCTCTCTTTGTCTCTCTCCATCACATGCATATGTGAGCTCTGGCTTTTTTTTTTTTTAAGAAATCAGATAAGTTATAATAGATTTGCAGGATTAAAATGAGAACAGTGAATAGGAGGAAAGGAGATAGAAGTACCAGCCAATAAGTCACAACTATGTGTAGAGGCTTAGCCAGGAAGGAAGAGTGGAGGGTAGGTAGTTGTGAGATGGGTGGGACTAAGCCAGAAGAAAGGGCTTCCTTATTTTGTTGTTTGCTTGTTTGATCTTAGAGTGGATAAACTTGATTACATCAGCCGCAAGAGACACAAATGTCATGGAGAAAAGATTGAAGATGCATGAGATTGAAGAGACAATTGAGATACTTGGAGAGGAAGCAAGAGGTGAACAGCAAGGACGGAAACTGAATAGGGTATTACAGAGGTTTGCAGATGTAAGAACTACAGTTCTAACACCTTCATTCCAAGTAGTTTCAATTTCCAAATACACATGTTTTTAACAGTGTTCCCTTATGAGTAGGCAATTACTCAAAGCCAACATGTATTCTAGCTCTGCGTTGGTGATTTTTGACCTTCTATCTCTGGGAGGAAAAACTCTTCTCATAAACTCTAAAGACAGAAAGCAAAAATATAGGCTTTGTGAGTCACAACAAGATCTAAGACATCATGATATGTCATGATAAATTAATGAGAAGAATTGTGACCAACGTCACCTGAGCCCATACTGCACAGAGACCACCTGAGAATGCAGGAACTTCACACTCTTTATCACACACTCACTCCCTCTCCTGTGTTGTGTTACAGCTGAACCAGAGCTGATTTCTCCGCACTCCGTATTACTGCATATCACTGTCTCAGCCACTAGTGTAAGCCCTTCAGGGAAGGGACTGTCACATTTACCTTTCAGTCCCCATTTGATATTCTCAGTGCTTGCCACACACTGTTAGATTAAGTTAAATTGTCACACTCAAAGAGGTCTCTGGGACCAGCAGTTAGCATAATGGCTATGTTGCTGGACTCACATGCAGTCGACAGTGGTTCAAGTCCCAGACCAGGTGGCATAAAACTCACTCCAGGCACGTGTGCGTGTGTGCCCAAGATCCATAGAGGAGAATGGAGAAGGGATTTCGGTGTGGCCATCCTTCCTGGGGGGATGATTTCTCGCCTTCTTTCTCTCTGTCTCTCTCTATCTTTCTGGCGACTGCATGCACCCTATAGGAAAAACCTCTTCAAAAAAAAGAAAAAAGAATTCTGAGATGGCAGAACCTTTGAATTGATAATAGTCCCAAGGCCTAAATGTTTTTTTTAGAATTCAGCTTAGAAGCATTTTCTGAGAAATATAAAAAGGTCAATCATATTCATTTATAGCCATATGGTATGTTGTCACAATTGCAGTCATAGAGTGATTTAGCCTCCAAGGTGACCTGCTGGTGTCCACATAGTTAAATAGTCCTTACCACCCTCATTGGGCCAAGGTTGGTCTGTGTGATTAATAAAATATATAGAAGTGATGATATTCACTTTCAGAATTAGCTTGGAAAAGTCAGTCCTTTCTCTTTCGGGTATTCTCTTGCTCTCTCTCATAACATTGTCTCTGAGAGAATCAACTCTCATTTTTTTGAAGGCAAAGAGGAGATCATGAGAGTTTTGACTAGTCAGTAAATAAGAATGTGATTGGAAAAAAAGGTCAATGCTGATTTTCTGAGCCGTTTATCTAAAGAAAACATACAAATAGCCAAGCATTAGTCATTAGAATAATGCAAACTGAAACCATAAAACATACCACTTCACATTCACTAAAATGGTTAAAATAAACCAACAAATCCGAGCCAATAATAATTTTGGTAAAAATGTGCAGAAACTGAAACTCTCATAATTACAGGTGGGAATGTAAAATGTTGCCTCTACTGTGGATAACAGTTTGACAGTTTCTCAAAAAGATAAAGTTGCTACATGGTCAATAATTCAATTCCCAAGAAAAATAAAATATAAATGCACAAAAATACTTGTACATCAATGTTCCTAATGCCATTACTCAAAATACCCTGAAGAAGTGAAAACAACTCATTTTTTAAGATTTAAATTTATTTATTTACATTCATTCATCGTACATCATTACAGCATACAAAATGAGATTTTCCATCCAGAATACACTGTATATTGGCTCAATCAAGCACATCGACATATGTGCTATCATCAACAAATAATTTTCCATTTCTCATTTCCTCTATATTTTGCATTTTTTCCCATCCTTGATTCCCTCTCTCTCACTCTCTGCCATCTCCCACCCTCCTCCCACACTGTTTCTGGTATCTATGGTTGCTTTCTATGCCTTTTCCCCCCATATTTTATTGGTTCACTAAAGATCTTAATTAATCTAAATATTTTGAATAGCAAGCAGAGCTGAAATAACATATCCAAGAACACAAGTCTGACTTTAGCATAAACCTCAGTGAGTAGAGTGAACATACTATAAAGCAGCACCTATCTGGGGCTATGTATCTTACTGCCGTCATCAAATAGGCATTTTTAATGCTTTTTTTTCTTGTTTCAAGAAAAATTGTTTTAGGTTTTTCTTTCTGAAACTTTTTTAAAAACTTAATTAGTTTACATTCATTCCCTAAGCATCACCACAGCATACAAAATGTGATTTCCCATCCAGAATATACCATATAGTGATTTAATCATTGATATTATTATAAAAAATGTTCCATTTCTAATATATATATATATATATATTTAACCCCTATTTCTGACCTTCTGTCCTTTCCCACCCTCTTCTCACACTCTCTGGTATCTACAGTTGTCTTCCATTCCGTTCCTCCCCATATTGTCTTGATCACACAATTTCTTAAATAATCTACTTTCAATAGCAAGTTGAGCTGGTAATTTTAAGAAAGGCAGTTTTAACTTAAATCAAATAAATACTAAGGAAATTTGCTTAAAGCTTAAGGCCAGGATACAGGTTAGAATTCTGTTAAAATGGTAGGTACATGAACTTATTGAAGCCTAGAAGAAATTCAGCAATGTTTTAGTCAAAAGTCATACAATTCTATTTCACTAATTCAGTCTCATATACTTTATCTTCTGTTGCTGTTCAATTTTCCCAATTAAATTCTGGGATATAATATTCAAATCCAGACTTTACCCCATGATTAATTTGGGCATTTTCTTAGTTTTTGAACTCTTATTTCTGCGTGTCTCTATTTAATTTTCCTGATACAGCATTCCCATGAGAATTTCTTGGAGATCTGGCCTGGTGCTGGTAAGTTCTTTCAAGTTTTGTTTATCTGAAAATGTTCTTGTCTTTTCTTCCCACATGAAGGAAAATCTTGCCGGGTACAGTATTTTTAGTTGAAATTGCTTTTCCCTTAACACTTTGAATGTATTTTCCCATTCCTTCCTTGCTTGCATTGTTTCTGTTGACAGGTCTGCTGTTAGCCTGACGGGAGTTAATTTAATGTTTTTCTCTTGCCAATCTTAGTATCTTGTCTTTGTCTGTGGCTTTGTTCAATCTGGCTATAATGTGTCTTGGAGAAGAACTTCTTTGGTTGATTCTAATTGGGGTCCTTATTTCTTGGGACTGGATCTTTGAATGTCTCTCTATGTTTGGAATGTTTTCTTCCAGGATTTCATGGAATAGATTACCAATGCCCCCACTCTTTGCCTTCTGGGATACCAATTATCCCAATGTTTGGACGTTTGATGGTATCTAGTATTTCTTGTATATTATTCTCATTGTTTTGGGCCATTTTCTGTTTTCATAGTGGATTTTTTTTGGGGGGGGGATAGATTTTTGCTACAGGGCATGTGCACTCACCAGACAGACAGAGAGAGACATAGAGACAGAAAGTGAGAAATCACCCCTCCAGGGGGGATGGTCACGCCGCAATCCCTTCTCCTCCATTCTCCTCTCAGGATCTTGTGCACGCACACACACGCGCCCAGCATGAGTTTTAAGCCACCAGGTCTGGGACACGAACCGCGGTCGACTACGTGGGAGTCTAGCGACATAGCCATTACGCCAACTGTTGGTTCCCCATGGTGGATTTTTATAGGTCAGAAATTTTCTCTTCTATGTCTGAGATTCTATTTTCTGTATGATCTAATCTCCCTTTAATACTTTCAAGGGAGATTTTGACTTCCTGTATTACAGCCTTCATCTCTAACAAGTCCGTTGGATTCTTTTCTTTCTTTCTTTCTCTCTTTCTTTCTTTCTTTCTTTCTTTCTTTCTTTCTTTTTCTTTTTCTTTCTTTCTTTCTTTCTTTCTTTTTTTTTTTTTTTTGGAGAGGATTTTGCTATAGGGCGCGTGCACTTGCCAGACAGACAGAGACAAAGAGACAGAGAGCGAGAAATCATCCCCCACGGGAGATGGCCAAGCCGCAATACCTTCTCCTCCCTTCTCCTCTCGGGATCTTAGGCATGCACACACACACGCCCAGCATGAGTTTTAAGCCACCCGGTCCAGGACACAAACCACGGTCGACTATATGGGAGTCCAGCGACATAGCCATTATGCTAACTGCTGGTCCCAGATTCTTTTCTTAAAGTGTGTAATTCCTCTTTTAGGTCTTACAAGAATTTCTTTAACTCCTTGAACTCCACATCTCTTCTCTCCTTTCTGTTCTGCAGTTCATTGTCTCTCCTCTCTTCCATGTCTGTTAGCTTCGCCATTATGAATATTCTAAATTATTTACCAGACACTTCCATAATTTCCATTGAACTGTCTGTGGATTAATAGGAGTTATTCTTTTCCCTTGGAGGAGAGGTATTTTCTTGCTTTCCCATATTTCTTGTGGTCCTGCAGTGATTTCTAGTCATCTTATGGATGCTGTGTTCCTTCCTAATTCCTGAAGTTCAATCTGAACATTCAGGAGCATGCAGAAAGAGGTGATCTGTAATCTCCTTGCTGTCTCATTGTGATACAACTCTAGTTTGTGGGCTGGAGGCTGGATTATCAGCAGCAGGAAATCTTCATTTCTGTTTTCCTCTTGAAGTCACTAGTTCTCAGGAGCCATGAGGAATCTTCTCCTCAGAACAACTCAATTGTTAATCAGCTAATAAATGGGCAAATTAAATGTGGCATATCCATACAATGGGGAACATTATTTGACAATGAAAGGGTATAATATACTGATATATGCTATACAAGTACAAGCCTCCAAGACATTATTCTAAATGAAATCAAGCAGTCATAAAAGAACACATTTTTTGGTATCACTTATATGAAATGTCCAAAAGAGACAAATACATGGACAGAAAACACACTAATGGTTTCCAAGAGTGGGGAGAAATGGGACTAGAGGATGACTGCTGATGCAGTTTCTTTTCAGGACAATGAAAGCTTAGCCCCCATCAACATTCTCTACTATCTCTCAGGCCATCTTCAGAGGTCCCATATTTATTCTTACCTAGTTCCAATCTAGTCTTCATATGGTTCTGTTACACAAATTCTGTTCACTCTCCTGATGTTGCTTTGAACATCTATTTCTTCACTGATAGTCATTCATTATGCCATATGGTCCTAAATGCTTGCCTGGCAGTCAGGAAATTCCTGTTTAAAGAGTACCCTACTCTATAAACCCTACAAGGGCCAGGATTGTACTCATTCTGTTCCTCAGAGTACATGGGACTTGGTATTCTTAGCACTTGTGCTAACTGGACCACAAGTGTGCGAGTGTATTACTGCAGAACACATTTGACTTCCTAGCTATTTTAGTACAGTCTGGAAAAGGAGACACTTGATCCTTGGCTCTAGCACCAATAAAAAAAAAATCTTAACTATCTTTCAGAGCCACAGCCACCTGATTCTCTCAAAACCTTTACGGTGGTTGTTACTGGCATGAAATAGATGGAGAATTCATGGATCATTAAGGTTAAATAGCCTAACCTAGACTGCAGAGCTGGTAAGTAAACAGCAACCAATTACCACTGGTTCAACAAAAATGCCGTTTGTTCACTAAACCATAGTATCAGGGAGCTACATACTTAGCTCATTAATTTAAAGATTTGTTAACTGTTACTTTAATGTCATGTCCCAAATCTCAGAGAAAGAGAGAGACATGGGGGGAGGACAGAGAGAAAGAGAGAAAGAGAATGGAAGCAGGGGGAAAGACTGGGGAAAGTAAATATTACGGACTACAAACTTGTAGATGTATCGGGAGATTCTAGCTGTGCCAGCAGTTATGCTTTACCATGCCCGTGCGATAATCCAGCTATACTATCAAACCCCTATGCCACACTCAGCTCCCAGGAGGCGCTGTCTGAGTGGACTGGAAGCCCTGGTTATACCTCAAGTTTGGAAAGTACTGTCCGAGTGCCAGATGAAGAAACAGTCAGCAATCGCATAGTACAGAGTATTTTCAATCACGGTTGCTCTGCTTTCACACTTGACCACACTCTGGAAAAGGAAAAAGAATGAAATATATGTAGTTACTTTCACAAAGGATTAGCCTCTACCCAATAAATCAGTCAATGGTGTATGGTTTGTCAAAATGATGGAGGAAAAGAAATATATACACAGAGGCATTTTGCTATCTCTGAAGGGATCCTGTCCTCAACAGGAGAAGGTGAAGGACAATGATGCCACATAGTCATAACCTTCCTTTCATTTATTTTATTATTTTATTTTATTTTATTTTATTTTATTATTTTATTTTGTAGAAGTTTATGCTATAGGGAGTGTGCACTCACCAAAAAGACAGAGACAATGGGACAGAAAGTGAGAAAACATCCCCGGGGGAGTGGCCATGCTGCAATGCCTTCTCTTCCACTCTCCTCTCAGGATCTTGAGCACACAAACACACACACCCAGTGTGATGTTAAACCACTGGATCCAGGACTTGCACTACAGTCGACTACATGGGAGTCCAGCAATATAGCCGTTAAACCAACTGCTGGTTCCATCCTTTATTTTTAATTTAATATATTTTATTTTATTATCTTTTATATATTCAATCACTATACATCACTACTTATCTTGTAAAGTGAATTTCACAACATGAATATATTTTACATCAGTCCAGTTGGGGATACTATATATCATAGAATTGGAAATGTGTCTATTATTTTTCTTTGTCATTGGCCTCTTTTTACTAATTTTTCCTGATACAAATTCAGCCCCATTTTATTTTTTATTTACTTATTTATTTCTTTTTACTATTATTGTTCATATATTAAATTGCTACACATCATTTAGATTGTGAAGAGACTTTACCCAGCATGATATACACCTCGGTCCAGGCCAGTTGATACCACCATACACGTACTCGTCAACAGATAATAAAACATATCTGTGTCTCACAGGCATGAAGAGTGTGAAATGGAAGCATCAGAGGTTAAATAATTTGCCAGGATAAAATGCTCCACAGCTCAAGTCCTCCATCACTAAGCCACACCGTCCCCTCCAGGGAACACATCGACACTTCTGGTGTGGCCAGAAGCCAGCCAGGCAGTGGCTGAGCTCTTCATGAGACTCTGAGTCAGCTCCAGGCCATGGAAGAAGCAAGGATCTTCTTTGGGTTAGTTTCTGAGATTCATTTCATTTCCATTACACTCACCCTGCTGGTCCTTCTTTGGAAGGCACATGTAAAGGGATTTGCTCCAATACGTTTCCGGCATACAGTTTTTTGCATGTAGAACTCGAAAAATAGGTTCCTGGAGTTATCTTCTGCGACAGATTCCTTCACAGAAACAAAGTGTCAGTTTGCAGTAGATATGTTTGTTTGTTTCTTTTTTTTAGATAAATGTTTTTGCTGTTGGGCACATGAACTCAACAGAGAGACAGAGACAGAGAGACAGAAAGTGAGAAATCACTCCCCCAGGGGGCTGGCCATACCACAGTACCTTCTCCACTTAACTCTCAGGATTCTGGGCACACATGCACACATGAACGCACATGCACTTGGTGTGAATTTTAAGCCCCCAGGTCCAGGACTCGAACCATGGTAGACTACTTGGGAGTCCAACAAGTCCAGACGGTGTAACCATTATGCCATCTACTAGTCCCACAATAGATGTGTTTCTAAAGTTCATGGTGCTAGAGATGATTCTGTCTCCAAAATGTGGAAAAAACTACCAGATAAAATCATTACAGTGAACGATCGATTATCTTAACAATCACTTGATGTCATGCCTTCATTTTAAGGACCAGAGATGAAAAGTGATTGACCAAAAGTGATTGTGGTAAAAGATAGAATCTGAATGTATATATGGTAACACAAAGATTGCTAATATCGCTTCTAAAATTGATTTAAGATGGAGCATCATTGTAAGGGAATACTGACCCAAAACTGTTACACAGGGATACAGAACAAGTACAAAGCCTAACAGCCCAAATAAAGCAAAAAAGAAAAAGTGTTTCTTATCTGCAAAATGTACATACAACATCCCCAAATAGCATAATCAGTTTATTAGAGTCCCTCCTCTTTTTTTTTTTTTTTTTTTGAGAGATTTTTGCTATAGGGCGCATGTGCTCACCAGAAAGACAGGGAGAGACAGAGAGACAGAAAGCAAAAAATCACCTCCTGGGAGAATGGCCATGGCACAGTCCTTTCTCCTCCATTCTCCTCTTGGGATCTTGGGCACGCATGCACACATGTCCAGCATGAGCTTAAGCCACGGGTCTGGGGCTCAAATTGCAGTTGACTACTTGGGAGGTAGCAACATAGTCATTATGCTACCTGCTGGTCCTGACCCTCCTCTTTTATGGAGAGTGAACTGAAGCACCTCTGGCTACAGACCCCAGGAACTTTTTCTCGATAAACTTTCTTTTATCTTTTTTCTTTTAAATTTTTTGAGAGTTCTTTTTTCTTTTTCTCTAGGACACGTGCATGGGCGAGAAAGACAGAGAGAGATGGAGAGACAGAATGTGCTAAATCACCCCCCAGGGAGGATGGCCATGCAACAATTACTTCTCCTCCATTCTCCTCTTGGGATCCTGGGCATGCACATACACATGCGTGGCGTGAGTTTAAGCCACTGGTTCTGGGACTTGATTTAAGGTCGACTACAGTTTCTCTAGGACACGTGCATGGGCGAGAAAGACAGAGAGAGATGGAGAGACAGAATGTGCTAAATCACCCCCCAGGGAGGATGGCCATGCAACAATTACTTCTCCTCCATTCTCCTCTTGGGATCCTGGGCATGCACATACACATGCGTGGCGTGAGTTTAAGCCACTGGATCTGGGACTTGATTTAAGGTCGACTACATAGGAGTCCAGTGATATAGCCATTACTCCAACTGCTGGTCCAAACTTCCTTTTATCTTGAGATGACAGACTCTGAGTCTTCCAACTGTTCCATTCACTATTCATGGATATTTTGAATTTTTCTCCTCACTAACGTTCACTTAGAACCTCCAAGCTGATCTTTACAGTGCTTTTGAAGTCATGGACATGTGCAGAGTGGTGAAAATTCAGTTGTCTGACATAATGTTCCCAGCTAGTGTCAAACAGGCAATGCTCTGCCTTCCTTTAGCTCTCAGACTACAAACAAGTGTGCTTCCTTTGGTCTGCTTAGTGCAATGACTTTTGCATTTTTGCACTTTTTGGTGGTAATTTCAGGGCTATCTAGTAGCATGATCATTAAGATGACTGAATACCACATGGACAACTGTGTGGTTTGAGTCCCAGACCGGACAACATAAAAAAGATGCTGGGCACGCATTCTTATATTCCCAAAGTACTGAAAGGAGAATAGAGAAGAAGGGATTATGCATGACCATCCCCAGGGGTGCTTCATCTCTCTCTCTCTGCTAAAGAGCTATCTCATGTGTTCCTAAGCTCAAGAAGGCACAATGTGTCTTATAGAGAAAATATGTGTGTTAGAGCATCTTGGTTTAGGCATGAGTTGTAGTGCCCCTTCCCTGAGTTCAATTTTTTAGATAGATTTCATTTTGTTTTAATTTCTTTTATACACTCAATCACTGTACATCACTTAGCTTATAAATGTTCACAAAATGAATACACTTTACACCAGTTCAGCCGAGGATACTATACATGTTATCAATACCTAATAACCCATTTCTGTGTCTCATAAATGCCTTGCGTTTCTATTTTTTTCTTAGTGTCTTTCATCACACTCTCCTCCTTCTCCCACCCTCTTCCCACACTGTATTCAGTATCCATAACCAATTTTAATACCTTGTAATCTTTCAGTTTGAGTAATGGAGCATGAACAGTCTGTATATATTAAGTGGGGATAAACAATGTCTTTCCTTTATCGCCTGGCTTGCTGGACTCAGCAGTAAACCTTCCATACTCATTTACTTTCTATCTAAAAGCAGGGTCTTGTTTTTTTATGGCTGAGTAGTATTCCATAGGGTATATGTGCCACACTTTTCAATCCATTCCTCTGTTCATGGACATATAGGTTGGTTCTATGTCTTAGCAGTTGTGAATAATACCACAGTTAACATAGATGTGCAAGCATTTTTAAACTGAGGTTCTCCTACCCTTTGTGTAGATACCCAGGAGTGGGACAGCTAGATCATATGGTAGTTCTACTTGTAGATCTTTGAAGAATCTCAATATTGTTCTCCACAGTAGCTGGATCAATTTACATTCCCACCAGCAGTTTAGGAGAGTTCCTTTTTCTCCACAGCCATGCTAGCACTTATGGTTTAAAAGAAAAATCTTAGTCATGCTGGCTGTGATTAGGTGGTATCTCATTGTGGTTTTGAGTTCAATGTTAATGAATCATTAATGAATCAACAATATACATTAAATTTGGAATCTTTAAGAGACTCTCACTAAACAAGTTTACTTGTATATGAATCAACAAAAAGATTGTGACCCAAGACTTGCTTGCTGGAACCTAACCCTCTATTTTCCCTAGGAACAAAGATTCATTATTTTCAATCCAGTGTTCATGAAAATCTTGTACAATGTAACTATAAAAATAATAAATAAAAACTATACATATAGTGTCATTTCCTAAAAGAATGCTCCTTAATTACTTAATAATTCCTGAAAGAAATCATTAAGCAACAAATATAGCTCTGCAGAGTATTATCCAGTCCTAGGTTTTTTGTTTTTTTGTTTTTTTTTTTTCAGAGGTTTTTGCTATAGGGAGAGTGTGCTCACCAGGAAGCCAGAGAGAGACAGAGAGACAGATATCGAGAAATCACCAGTGGGAAAATTAAAACCTCGTTAGCAAATGGTTCTGGAAAAACTGGGTATCCACCTACAAAAAGGTGAATCTGAAGCCCTATAGCAAACCACCGACAAAAATCAACTCAAAGTGGATCAAAGACCTAAACATTAGATCTCGATCTATAAAACTCCTGATGAAAAGCACTGAGAAAACTCTGGAGACACTGGGGTAGCAAAGACTTCTCAAATAAGACCCCCAAAGCACTGTCAATAACTCCAAAATTAGACAAGTGGGATTACATTAGATTAAGAAGTTTATGCAAAGGGAAATACAGTAATTAGTGTGAATCAACAGCCCTCAGAATGCGAGAATATTTTTGTAAATTATGTGTCAGATAAGGGACTGATAATCAGAATACTCAGATATCCCAAAAATGATCAATCAAATTAAAACATAGAAAAATGAGCTGAACAAAGAACTGTATAAGTAAGACATATGATTTCTCACTTTCTGTCTCTATGTCTATCTCTCTCTGTCTGGTGAGCGCACATGCCTTATAGCAAAAACTTCTAAGAAAACACACACACAATGAGATACCACCTAACCCCAGTCAGAATGAGTAAGTTATATTACTTTATTTCTTATTATTTTTCTTTTTAAAAAAACATTTGATTTCTATGCATCATTTAGCTTCTAAAGAGAATTTACCCAGTATGAAATACATTTTAGACAATTCCAGTTGAGAATACTATACACATTATCATCAATATGTAATACACCACTTTTGTGTTTCACAAATATCTTGCTTCTTTATATTTTTCCCTGATTTTCTTCCCTATATTCCTTCCTTCTCCCACCATTCTTCCACAGTTTCTCCATTTTATGCCCTATATTAAGTGGAGACATACAATAAATTTCTTTCATAGCCTGATTTGCTTCACTCAGCAATAAGTCATCCATATTTGACCACCTTTTGTGAAATAATATGGTCTTGTTGTTTTTTATGGCTAAATAGTTTTCCATAGAGTATATGTACCACGCGTTTTCAATCCATTCCTCTGTTCGTGGACATTTGGGTTGGTTCCATGTCTTAGCAATTGTGAACAATGTTGCAATAAACATTGATGTGCAAGTGCTTTTATGACCGAGCATTCCCCTGTTCTTTGGGTAGATACCGAGGAGTGGGATTACTTGATCATATGTTAATTCTATTTGTAGGTCTTTGAGTAACCTCCATATCGTTCTCTACAGTGGCTGGACCAATTTACATTCCCACCAACAGTGTAGGAGAGTTCCATTTTCACCACAATCCCACCAAATTTTTAATTTATTTTGTATTTTTAATCTTTTCCAGAATGACTAAGATTTAAAAATCAAAAAATGGTAAGTGCTGGCAGGACCATGATAAAAGGGGAACTCTTCTATACTGCTGGTGGGCAGATAAATTGGTTCAGCCACTCTGGAGAACTATATGGGAGTTCTTCATATATCTGTGTATAGAACCACCATATGATCCAACAGTTCTGGGTAACTGCTCAAATAAAAGATAACACTCAGAAAAGTCCTTGCACATTTATGTTTATTGAAGCATTATTCAAAACTGCTAAGACATGGAACCAACCCAAATGTTCATGAATAGAAGAATGGATTAAAAAAGTGTGGTTATACTCTATGGAATGCTACTCAGCCATTAAAAAACAACAAGAAAGACCCTGACTTTTTAATACAAAATAGACAAATATGGAAGATTTACTGCTGAGTGAAGCAAGACAGGCTATGAGGAAACACATTGCATGCCTAAACTTAATATGTGTTTCTATCTGCACTCTATTGTGGAAACTGAAAGATTAGATCATATATAATCCTGGACAATGGTTATGGATACTGGATACAGTGTGGGAAGAGAGTGGGAGAAGGGGTATATTGTGACAAAAGAAATTAAGAAGAAAAAGAGAGGCAAGTCTTTTTTGGGACAAAGAAGTTGATTAATGTCTATAGATGAAAATGTGTATAGGATCCTCAACTGGACTGGTGTGAAGTGCCTTCATGTTGTGAAAATTCTCTTTACAAGCTAAATTATGTATAGTAATTGAATGTATGAAAAAATTAAAACAAAATGAAATATATATATTAAAAAATATAAAGTATTTGCAAGGCATGCAGCACTGGCAGACAGCCATCATCTTTCCATGTCCTTACATGTATTCTCTCTGTGCATGTCTGTGTCTTCACTTCCTCTTACTAGAAGACATAGTCAGACTGGATCATGACGCACCCAAAAACTTCAATCTCTAAGTAAGAGGGATTTTCAAAAAGTTCACAGAAAATGCATACTGAAAGAAACAATGTATGGATTTCGAAATTGTTTTCTCCAAAATAAATTTATACTTTAACTTAAAAAATCAAGAGAGAAGATTATGATGATAATAAAAAAATAAAAATAAAAAAATCAAGAAAGAAATGGCCTATGGGATAAATGGTTTATTATCTGTTTATGATAATGTATATAGTATCCTCAACTCACCTGGTGTGAAGTGTATTCATTTTGGCAAAATTCACTTTATAAGAGAAGTGATGTTTAGTGATTGAATGTTTAAACTAAATAAGTGTATAAATAAATAAAAGGAGTGGCCAAGGAAAGGCAAGAGTTAGCAGGTTAGCAGACTCCTTGGTAGAACTGTAGTGTACATAAATAAGACAAAGTGGCATATTTTGTTTAGTAGGAATAAGGGTTACATACATCATATATTGGGGGGGGGGTCAGGTACAGGTGACCATACCAAAATGGTACACATATTTCATGTGCCCTGGTGGAATACATCTGACATGAGCTCTACCGCATGATTCAGATACCACGGCATCAGTAGTTAGTTCTCTTGTCTTAGTTTAATTAACTACTTTCTTCTATAGTGAGAAATAGATCTATTGCCTGTAAATTTAAAATGCTCATCTGCAAGACATGGATTACACAACACCTCAAGTAGATTTAATGTTTAAATATTAATGGAAACTCAATATGGAAGTCAATACAAGCTGTTTTAAAGGAAAGGGGTTCATTATTCTGATCTAACCCTCTTTCAGAGGACTTCAACCTTTGCTTGACAGCTGACCACATGTATCTCACGGTGTCTCCATACCACAATGTCCAAGTCCAAGCAGCCCCACTCTGATCATGGTGGCCTTGTTCTGGGAGGGATACCTAAGTAGAGAAGAGCCCATAGGCTTTATGATCAACGATTAAGGAAAAGACAAGTGGGACAATTCAATTAATTTCTTCAGAATTTGCAAAAGAGAAATCTAGCCTGTTTCTGAAGAAATAACAATGAATATGTTGTATTTGGGGACTTGGGCTAGAAAGTCATGACTTGGGTGCTCTGCAGAGTAGTAGACAGAAGACATTAAAGAGGCATCCAGGAAGAAAAGAAGGGAGCAAAGAGGCCAAAAGAAATCACAGCCACATGGCCTCTGCAAGAAAGGGGCTGCTTCTTGAACTCCTGGTCATGTCTCCATTGTTAATTTTATGCAATCGGCTGCTCAGCCTTTTCATTCCTATTGTATATAACTTCACAGAACCTCCTATAATGCTCACCTTAACCTAAATGTACTTGAGAATATGTCCATTTCTACCTCCAAATGACCCCCATTAAGATGAAAACAATCAGTTTAGTCAGCTGGGAAACAGGAGGAAGGAGAAATGTGACTTACTGCCTCTGTTTCTTATTTTCTTTGAAGAACAGCACTACATTTTCCTTGCCTATCACAGATGTAGTCAGGGAAGCCCAAGAAAATTCTTCTTTTCCTGGTTCCCAATGTTAACAAAAACAAACAAACAAACAAAAACAACAGCACCACCACCAACAACAAAAACAGAATTGTTCCAGATTGACAGAGGAAGTTAGAGGTCTTTGGCTCAAAAGCCAGATTTTCTTTTCTGTAAATATGAGGAGCAGAACTGCTGAATATGAAAGGTGGCTCATTTTCAATAAACCAGTAGTTCTCACTCACTAAAACACTACAGGAAGAACTACGAGGACTTCAGATTCAAAAACAGGACACAGAGAAACAGAAGACAAGGTCAGAGGGAAGAATGCAGCAGAAGAATCAGTCATTAGAAGTAGCTTTGAGAACATCATGACAAAAAAAATGATAATTCTTTATCAGAAAACAGTATGGAAGAGATGACTAACCAGCCTATTTTTTTTATGTATTTATTGTAATTTGTGACACTTCTAATCATTACACATCTTTGCAGAGTATAGAATGATCTTTAAAAGCATACATACAGAGTATAATAAACAAAACAATATTAACATATTCACCACCTTCAACATTTAACATTATTTATGTTGTGAACATTTGAAACCTACTCCTCTGGTTATTTGAGAAATATGTACTGAATTATCTATGATATCTTCTACTGTGAAATACATTTCTGAAGAAAAATATATTGATTGAAAATCAAACAGGGAAATGCTAAGTTGTAAAAGTATTTAAATATCTATGCTTATTGCAGTATTATTCACAATTGCTAAGACATAGAACCAACACAAATGTCCACAAACAGATGAATGAATCGAAAAAAAGTGTGGCACATATACTCTATGGAATACTACTCAGCCATAACAAACAGCAAGACCCTGGCATTTGATAGAAAGTGAACAAATATAAAAGCTTTACTGCTGAATGAAGAAAGCCAGGCTATGAAAGAGAGACATTGTATGTCTTCACTTACTATATACCAACTGTACACACTCTATGGTGGAAATGGAAAGATTACAGGACATAGAAGCTTTGGAAATGATTATGGACACTGGAGACAATGTGGTAAGAGGGTGGGAGTAGGGGAAGTGTGTAAGGAAAGAAATTAAAGAGGGAAATAGAGAAGAAAGGCATTTATGGGACACAGAAATGGATTATGTGTTGATGATAATGTGTTTTGTATTCTCAACTGGACTGGTGTAAAGTGTTTTCATGTTGGGTAAATTCAATTTACAAACTATGTGATGTATGTATATAAAGTGATCAAATTTATAAAATAAAATAAAATTTCAAATATAGACATTAAGTCTCATAAGTTAATGAGGATGAATTTTTGAAAACAAAGATATTGACTACCTAGTATATTATAAACTGAAAATATATTTAAAGTGTATCCAACAAACTGACAAATGATAGCGATATGAAGAGGAGTCGAGAAGACACCGTTGGACACTTACATTTTTCAGTGAACTTTTGTATGGCCGATAGAGAAATCGACCATGTATCCTGGCATTTGCTGCACTGACAGAAGCATTGAAGGCGTCATCCACGAGGGGATCCGCATACCGTGGCAACCCTGAATGCACAAGCACATGGAGCCTCAGTGAGGATCCACACAAGGTGGTTTCAATCATTAAGAGATTGAAGTGGCCGGGTTGTTGAGGGTCTTACCTGTGCAAGACCAGTGGTTGATTCCAAGAGCAAACATAATCATGATGATCATTACCACCTTCTCCATTGTGGGAACAACAATTTTAGTTCAGAGTAGATGCGATTGTCTCTCTAGAAGTTTAGGAGCAACAGTTTTCCTGAGACTAGCTGTCTTTATAAATAGGACCTATCTGCGTTTTCTGATTGCAGTAGCCAGTAATTAAACAGAAACATTTGGTCTCGGGGTCAACATTTACTGCTGACAATTCCAATGGAGAGGTTCCAGTTTGAGAATATTTGTGAAGTTTAGAGCTGACCAAGGACCTTTAACCCACCACCAAATGCATCAAGAGGCTCAGGATTCCATATGTGCTCCTTATTTCTCTCTGTTTTGATTTACTTCTTTAGAGAAAGGATATATTATCTACGCTCAAAAGAATGGTTCATTTAAAACTTTTGCCTTTTTAGTTCTTTAGTCCTGATGATCTCCCAGTGAAATGTGCACACTTCTTAAATAAGACCCCCAAAACACAGTTGATAACCCTCAAAATAGGCAAATGTGATCACATCAGACTAAGAAGTTTCTGCATGGCAGAAGACAGTAATTAATGTGAATTGACAGCCCTCAGAATGGGAAAATATTTTTTAAATTTGGCGTCAGATAAAGGACTGAAAACCAGAATGCACAGGGAATACAAGTAGCATTTTTGAAAAAAGATGATCAACCCTAATAAAAGACAGGAGAATGAGTTGAAAAGAACACTCTCAAAAGATGACATACAAATAGCCAAAAGGCATATGAAAAAATGCTCAACATCCCTCATCATAAGAGAAATGCAGATCAAAACAACAATGAGATACCACCTAACCCCAGTCAGAATGTGTAAGATTAAAAAAAAAAATGGTTAAGTGTTGGTGAGGGTGTGGTGAAAGGGGAACTCTTACACTGTTGGTGGGAATGTAAATTAGTCCAGCCACTGTGGAGAACAATTTGGAGATTCCTCAAAAATCTACAAATAGAACTACCATATGATCCAGCAATCCCACTCTTTGGTATCTACCTTGATATCTACCCAAAGGACAGAAGAATTCTTAATCAGAAAAGTGCTTGCACATCGCTTTTTATTGCAACACAATTCACAATTGCTAAGACATGGAATCAACTTAAATGCCCCCGTACGGATGAATGGATTGAAAAACTGTGACACATATACTCCATGGAATACTATTCAGCCATTAAAAAAATGGAAAAATAAAAATAAATAAATAAATAACAACCCTGGCTTTTGACAGAAAGTAGAAGAATATGAAAGATTTACTGCTGAGTGAAACAAGCCAGGCTATGAGAGAGAGACATTGTATGTCTCCAATTAATATATACCAAATGTCAACAGTCTATGACTGAAACTGACTAATGGATATACAAACACAGTAAATGGGTGTAAATACCAGATACAGTATGTGGGGAAGTTTAGGGCCTGAGGAAGGACATTTAGAAGAAAAATAAGAAGGCAAAGCATAATGGGACAAAGAAATGTGGCATTATCTGTTGAAGATATTTTAGAGTTTTATCAACTGTTCTAGGGAGAAATGTTCACATATTGAAATATTCACTTTGTAAGCTAAATAATGTGATCGAATGTATAAAAGAAAATGAAATAAATTAAAAAAGTGAAAATTGCTGGCTGGATTATGGTGAAACTTCCACACTGCTGATGGGAATGTAAATCGGTCCAGCCGCTGTGGAGAACAATATGAATTTCGTCAAAGATCTACAAATAGAACTACCATACCATCCAGCGATTCCACTCCTTGGTATCTACCCAAAGGATAGAAGAATCCTTAGATGTAAAAGTGCTTGCATATCAATGTTTATTGTGGCATTATTTACAATTTCTAAATCATAGAATGAACCCAATGTCCAAAACAGAGGAATGGATTGAAAAAGTGTGCCACATATACTGTCTGGAATACTACACAGCCATAAAAACAATAAGACCCTGGCTTTGACAGAAAGAGGATGAATATGGAAGATTCACTGCTGAGTGAATCAAGCCAGGTTATGAAGGAGAGACATTGTATGTCTCCACTCAATATATTCTGAGTGTCTGCACTCTATGGTCGAAACTGAATGACTAGAGATATAGAAACCTAAAAAATGGCTATAGATACCAGGTACAGTTTGAGAAGAGGGTGGGAGAAGGAGGAGAGTCTGAAGAAAAACATTAAGGAGAGAAATAGACTGGCAAGGCATTTATAGGGCAAAGAAATTGTTTATTATCAGTTGAAGATAAAGTGTAGAGTATTCCCACCTGGACTGGTGAGAAATATATTCATGTATTCATGTTGGAATATTCACTTTACAAGCTACGTGACATAAGTAATTAAACGCATAAAAGGAATTAAAATTAAAAAATTATAATTTAAAAAGTAGTTAATATACCATATGCTTTTTTATTAGATAAAGTTGCCCAGCAGCTCCCCATAAGGAATACACTTGTTTTATCAGTAATTGCTCTGATGCCTGTCAATTGGACTACAGAATATTATTTTGCATGACTTAGTTTTTGCAGGTGAGCTCTAAGGATATAGTATTGGGGCTCATATTTCCCATTTAAGAGTTTCCATAAATTAGGGAGCGCATAGGATACCATATTCAGATTGTACTTTCAGCAATGAGTAGCATGGGCCATAGCTTCATGGCCACCTCAGATACCATTGGTCATATATTAAAATACTTTTATAAAATATTCTTTTACCATTTTTATTTCATTTTCTCTTATACATTCAATCACATTATTTAGCTTACGAAAGGAATATTTCAACAGGTAAACATTTCTCCCTAGTACAGTTGATAAAATTATAAAGTATCTTCAACAGATAATACCACATACTTATTTTTATTTTCTGGAGAGGTTTTTGCTAGAGGGCATGTGCACTCACCAGAAAGACAGAGAGAGAGAAAGTGAGAAATCACTCCCCAAGGGGGATGGCCATGCTGAAATCCCTTCTCCTCCATTCTCCTCTCAGGATTTTGGGCACGCATGCACACACGCCTAGCTTGAGTTTACGTCACCGGGTCCGAGACTCGTACCGCAGTCTACTACATGGGAGTCCATCAACATAGCCATTATGCCAACTGTTGGTCCTTATAAAATATATCTTAAAATTATTTATAATTCCCTCTCAGACCTTATTCAATATAACTCATACCTTCTGCAAATGCTTTATACCTTGCTCATTTGTCCTCGTTTTACTTTTTATCATTTTGAAATAATCCAGCCATCTTGTAGGACAAAATTTTTACCATACAAAAGTCTTCCTATATAAAAAACCTTTTTTTCCTTTTAATCTATTTTTAACCAAAAATTCATCTTCATATCTATAACTTTCTTCCCACATCTCTTTCCTACTTACTGTTTTCTTTCTTCCTTGTTTCTCTTTCCTTTATATATTGATCTTGGTAATTAATAGTTACCTTTGGGACCAGCAGATGACGTGGTGGTTAAGGTGCTGGACACTCCCACATGGCCAACCACGGTTCGAGTCCCAAACCTGGTGGCTTACTTTTTCACTTTCCCTCTCTCTCTTTCTTCTCTGTTTCTCTCTCTGATCAAATTTAAGTAAATGAGTGAATAAATAAAAATAAATAAATGATTATTAAAAAAATAGTTACCTTCAAGATAAGAAATATTATTTTTAAGGAACATTTTTGTTTATCATTTTAAGGATTAAATTAGGCTTCGTTAAATGTCAAAGTCTCCCTCTTTCTTTTTCCAGACTGGGGAATCTGACACCTCTGAAAGACCATCTAGTCTGTACCTTGATATGTAGGACTCTACATATTTACCAAAATGTTAAGCTCTTAGGAGTAGTAGCTTTTATTACATACCAGCTACTTATGGATATGTATTTTACAAACAACCAAAAACTGTCTAACAAATTGCCCAATAAAGAACAAAACAATCTTACTAATAGATTTAATATTTTCCATTTTGTAAAATTTAAAATAATTATTCCAATAGGAATAATTAAAGCATGGGATTTTGTTTAAACATTTTCTTGCTTTGGGTTAATATTCATCCTGCCTAATGGTTGGCTTAGCAGTTCAGAAAAACAATCAGATTCTCTATAGAAACTGGAAATTTATTTATTATTATTTTACCCAATGTAAGGATTAGATATCTATAAGAGTTCCTGCTCTTTTCATTTTTAATAAAAACTTTAAAATACATAACAATTTAAGATTCTACTCATTTGAGAAAACCATTTTAGAAAGGCATTAAACAAAGTCACTAATCATGGGCAAAAATCCCTGAGCACTCTAAAGATGAAAAGGGGTTGACTCAGGGCTGGCAGGTAGCAAGGTCTTTAGATGTGCTGAATTCCCACATGATGGATGGTGGTTCAGGTCCCAGACCTGGCGGCTTGCTTTCTCATTTTCCCTTTCTCTCTCTCTCTCTCACTCTGTCTCTCTCTGGTCAAATAAAAAATATAATAAATGGAATTAAATAAATAAGTAATCCTTTAAAAATATGAAAAAAGAAAAATAATTAACTCAGTGTCTGTCAGTTCCAAAAATAAAGACAATACATGGTAGATTACAACAGCCAGATATGACTTTTGAAGTTGTAAGATTTACTTCTCATAGTTTTTAGTCTCTAGCCTTGTAACTGAACCGTAAGAGAGCAAAAAAAAAAAAAAAAAAAAAAAATCAAAGTTCAGGAAAATTAGTCTTACCTCACAGCATTTAAAAATTTCCTTTAACCATTATGTCCTGATCATCTGTGAGAAACAAGGTATTATGGAAGACTAGTCATTAATTTATTTTTCCTGTTGATCAGATACTCATCATGTAATATATAACACATAACCTACAAACACCACCTGATTTATTAAACCAAACATATAAAGACAAATATGATGCTGTCTGATTAATAAGCCCTAAACAAAGCATATGTTAGAAACCGTGAAGATATTCACATATTAAACATTTTTTTTAATTTGAAGCCAAGTTGTTTACTTAAGTCATATGAACTTGAAAAGCATTTAAATTATTTTGTATGAGCACTCTTTCTATAAATTAAAGTGAAAGAATTCCTTAAGTCATTTTGTTGTGTTCCTCTCCCTAATGGAGGTTTCTGCTTTCTCCCCTTTGAATTTTAT